ATGTGACCCTGGGCAAGTCAATTAACTTCTCAGCATCAGCTTTCCAATCTGTAAAATACAGGGGTCACCTAATTTGAAAGCATCTATCCTTGCTTATTGATAAAGTCACTCCCCTAAATTTATTCCTGGCTGGCTGTGTTGCAACAGGGGTAAAGAACTAAGAATAAAACACAATCCAGCCTTAATTTTACGTTTAGGTATGAAAAGGAGACTGAGAGATAATCAGAGATGATAACGGCTAAAACCAGACATATAATGAGAAATCATGATCCATAAATGGAGATAAGATAGTCATATGAAGTAAGGAGCTTGGCAATTAGAACATTGATCACCTTACAAATTGCTTTGTGACCCCAGTTGACTTTGTCATTTATTCATTCAAAAATATCATTTGTTTTCATCTCTACATAAGTGAAATTCTGATAGGTGAGCATTAATCTTCCACGGAAGCAGCCTCTGCATTTTATTTTGTCATTCAGACCAGCAAATTAAACTCACTTTCCTGCCAATTCCTTCCCCTTCTTCTCCAGCGAGAGGACAATGCAGACGGAAAAGCCAGGAGGAGCCTACTCTATTTCCCCACTAAGGGGCTGGCAGAAAGTCCATAGCTCAGAAGCATCCATTTTTACCTGACATCATGATGCAGATTACAGTTTCCTAGGGACTGAAAATTAATCTACCACATTTATTTGAGTTCTTGCCCAGCCCATATTTTCACCCTTTAATGGTAACAAAGCTAAAATGTCTTTCCAGTCACTTTGCATATCATTTCCTTTCTCTTTAACTCTCTTTCGAAGTGAGATGATTGATAGATCCTTCTTCAGCAATCACTTACTTTGGTAGATGATTTTCTTTTTCCTTTGAACTGAATTTTGAAAGGAGTTGTACTTGATGAGCTAATTAGCACAAAAACACAGAGTATATAACCTTAATTAGGCATGATTACTGGCTCAACGTAATGGGATGTCCTGAAACTGCACGCTATGCAAATATTAGACTTTTCATTCTTCCCATTACATCTGAAACCTTCAAGCAAAGGATGTTTTGCAGTATGTACCACAGTCAATGCCAGGTGCAAATCTTTAAACAAAAGGTTGGTTTTTTGGGTGTACTTGTTGGGGAAAGGATAATGGAAGGGGTTTTCAAAAAAATAAAATTTAAAGAAACTGAAAAGTTCTATTAAACTCAGAATGAGCTTTACAAATCCAGAGGAGTTTTAAAATGAAGTAAAACAACCCAGTTACCCTACTCAAACCATTGTCACATCTGGAATACTGAAGATACTTCACTCTAGGCATCACTGTGAATTATGCAAATCTTGAGAGATCTTTCAAATCCAGAAACCACTAAGAGTACTATAAAACCAGTCTGGGGTTTACTCAAGCTAGTAGGATATAGGAAGATAAAAACAAATCACGGTGAATCCCGAACCCTAATTTTAGCCAATTATTTTCATTTCCTTTACCATCAACCTTCATTTTATTTTCCAAATGGGAGTAGTAAAAGTAAAAATTGGCTTTTCCCTTCCTATCCTGAAATAAAAATATTCAAGGATGTGGTAACCTCAGATATTTGAATTTTCAACCACTGAATAACTGAGATCCCCCAATATACACTTCTTATATTATGTCTAGAGCTGTGAGTTTTCAGGCTCGGTCCGAATAATAATAAGCTATTTTGAGACACTGACAGGAGCAGAAATTCAATAAATGTGTGAGTACTAGAATATTTAATACCTGATTTTTTTTGTCTAGTGTATCATTCATTCACTAGAAATGATAATACAAGAAAGTTTGAAATCCATAGTTTGCTCTGTATTGAATATAGAAGCTAACATTTTACTGAGTACATACTACATTCTAGGCACAGTTTTCAATATTTTATTGGTATATGGTCTCATTGAATCACTACACTGACCCTGGACGGGCGTTACCAAAATTAGCCATATTTTACAGATGAGGAAACTGAGGATAAAAAAAGTTTAAAAACCTCATCTAAGATCACATCTAGTAAGCAGTAGAGCCAGGACTTGAACTCATGTCTGTCTGACTCTAGCCATGCTCTTAACCACTGTGCTGGGTGCGTTAGTATCTGTCTATCTTCTGATCGAATCAATCCTTCCTTATTAGCACTTTCCCCAGAGCTGGAAATGAGATGCAAGAGAAATAAAAAGAATTGAGACCTAAATCAAAATCCAGAAATTTTCTATCCCCTCTTATATACAAAGGAGGTCCTAGTTAAATGCTATGTGTGGGGTGAGGATGTGAGTGTTGTGGAGCTAGAATTGGAAATAAGGGGGACATGATTGAGTGTAATAGACACAGATGTAAATGATTCAACATGCTATTGCACATGAGATAATACAGAAAAAAACTCATAGAGGATGTTTTCTGGAGGACGTTGGGCTCTCAGTCCCAGATGAACAGTTAGAAAGCCTATGTGCTAGGATTCAATTCACTTCTCTTTGACTTTAAAGCCTTTGCTTTAGTGTAGTGATTAACAGCATCACTGGCTTCAAACCCTGGCCCTACCACTGACTATGGGGGACTGGATAAGTCTCCGTAACTCTCAGTTCCTTGATTTCCTCCTTTATAAATTGGGGAAGACAGTAATCCTTGCCTTGTAGAGTTATTTTGAGACTTGAGTGAGATAAAACTCCATAAACATTTGAACAATTCCTGGCAGCACCACAGTACCTCCCAAGCCATAAATCTGGTGTCATCCTAAACTTCTCCATCTACTCACTGCTTATGGATTAGTTTCCTTAGGATCCTTGCCACTACTGCTGTCATTGCCTTAGTTTAGACCAAGGGTTGGCAGACCATGGTCCACAGCCAAATCCAGCCTCCACCTGTTTTTGTAAATTATGGGTTTTCCTTTTAATTGAGGTACAATTGACATTGTAAATAATGTTTTATTGGAACACAGCCATGCCCATTCACTCATATATTTTCTGTGGCTGCCTTTACTCTATAACAGCAGATTGAGTAGTGGCAACAGAGACCATATGGCCTGCAAAACCTAATATATTTACTCTCTGGTCCTTGACAGAAAACGTTTGCCAATTCCTGGTTGTCTGGAGTATTGCAATGGTCTCCTTCCTGGTTTTCCTGATTATATGTTATTCTTCCCTGAACCCATCCTCCCCACCCCTCTTCCTATGCAAGGAGGAATTTCCCTAAAATGTGAACTCAGCCATGTCAATTTGCTCCTTATGGTGCATTGACCTTCATTACTAAGAACATCAGCTTTCACCTACTGCTGATCCCCATACTGACCTTTTCCTCTGACCACAATGAATGCTTTATGCCCTTTCCAACCTTGGCACGTAAAGTTCTTTTTATCTGAATACCCACCCCTTGCCTTTGTCCTCAATAATAAGCTCAGGTTTTACTTTCTCAGAGAAGACCTTTCTGACTTCCTTATGCTGAACCAATGACTGCTCTACAGCTTGTGCAATAATACAGTTCCAGCATTTATCCATTCTTATGATCATGGGTTTAGGTGTCTACCCCTGCCACTCTGTGGTTCCTCTCAAGGGCAGGGATGTACATTTTTCACTTTTATATCTCCAGTGCCCAGCCGAGGATCTGGCCCTTAGTAAGTTCCCATTGTCTGTTGTTATTATCAACTGGCATTTCAGCCGGGACTTAAAGACTTATACAAGGTGCTAGGGGAGTGTCAAAAGAAAAGGCAATCATAGGAGGCTTCTTGGGGGGAACTGACACCTTAGCTAATTCAGAGCAGATGAGAGGGAGGGTAAAACAGGCAAGTGGAAGAAAAAAGGCAGTAGGAGCCGCATGGGTAAAGATGATGAGACCTGAAAGAGGTGTGTTGGAGTAATGACAAGCAGAGGAAGGAGACTTGTGAGGGAATGCTGGAAGATAGGCTAAAAAGAGAGTTGTTAGTTTTCAAATCCACAGAGCCTCCTCTGAACGTGCTGAGGTGCATGGACAATGGGAAACTGGGAAGGGCTCGAGCAGGCAAACGCCATATTCCAAGTTGCAATTGTCTGTGTGTGTGTCAGTCTTCTAAAAGTCTCTTAAAGTACTGAGTACGTTTTTGTCTTGTTATCGTTCCATCCCATGTATACACAATTTCTGGAATATCATAGGTTCTCAATAAATGTTTCACCATTGAAATATATGAAAACTCCCCAGTTTTAAGGGAGGGTCCCCGATGTTTAGTATTCTCTTATAAGATGAATACTTGTCCTGTCTACAACTTGGATCAATTTAAGTAATTCAGTCATATTTAATCTTGTTTCTTGGATTTTCTGCTTGAAAAATTCCCTTTAGAAAAAAAAATGCTATCCTCTTATAGAAGGTTTGAAACCCTTGGATCATTTTGGTTGACTTTTTCTGGACCTCTCCTACTCTGGTCTGTCTTGGTTGAGTTAAGGTTTTCAAGAGCATCTGAATTGTTTCCTAATCTGCAAAACTAGTGGCAGATGAGTTTATTTCTTGTCATTTTGGTATTTTGTCTCAACCAAATGCTAAATGAAGCTAGGAGAAATAAAAACTCTTATCTGTAAAGCCTGCCAGGGATGGTGCTTCACAGGTAGAAAGCAGAGCTTTTATTAATGATGTCCACAGACTACTTCTGTCACTAGCTCAAGGGCTCAGAGAGCTGGCAGATTAGCAGTTTTGGGGTGTGTCAATGAAATGAACTAGGTGCTAAAAGATGCCCAGACAACTGGATAAAACTGGGATTTAGGGCACTCCTGCACTCCAGGAAAATTTCCAAGCCTCCAATTAATTATCCTCAGAGAAGAAAAAAAGCATCAGTTTCAACTTTAGTATATTTTCCACCTATGTTTTGTGCAGTTTTATTTTGAGTGTTTGAGGTTATCTTTTCGACGTAACAGCTAAACCCACGGCTTCCTTTCTCGTAAAACCAAAACAAAAAAGCTTTCTATTCATGCATATCCAGGATCAAAGCCCAGCTATATAATGTCCTTGATTCTGTGTGGGTTCAAACACTTTTCAAAGCTTCAGGATCCTGAAAGGTTTCCCTCCGCTTCCTGAAGACCTGAACACTGTTCCCATACAGCCATGGCTTGCTTTGGGTTCCGGAGGCACGGAGCTCAGATGGATCTGGCTTCTAGGACCTGGCCCTGCACTGCTCTGTTTTCTCTTCTCTTCATCCCCGTCTTCTCCAAAGGTGAGTGAGGCATTTGGAGCATGACGGTGGAGGAGGTGTTTCTCCCATTTGGGTTTCATTTCTTTCAGCAGTCAAGGGCAGTGATTTCTAGCAAAGCCATCAGCTCAAGGTAAAACTCCAGTCCCGTGACTTGGATAGCTCTGTATCCTGAGGCAGTCAGGGGACAGCTGGCAGCAGCAAATAAGCAGAGATACAGCTTATAGCTGAGTGCTGGACATTGAGTAGGGGTTTAATAAATATACCTGAGTTGGTTTGGGAGCTATAAACAATTTGAGACTCTTCTATATGATTGGAAGAAAATACTGGGAAGTTAAGTGATTTAGGAGAGAAGAAATATCCACAGTCCCGAATACATCTGACCTTGGAATCAGAGTGAGTTCAAAATTTTTCTTTTTTAAAAAACATTGATTGGAGCAAATCATGGAAATTTTCTTTCCTACCCAATTCAAGGTTTTGAGGTTCTCTAATGCACTTCTATAAGCTAATTAGCCAGCTTGTTTAAATTTTAACTCTTCTTTACTTAATTCAAGGTTTTAAGGTCCTTTTAATGAACTCTATAAACTAGTTAGCTAACTATTTAAAAAACTGAAAGAGGTTTGAAATTGTAAAACAAAACAAAACAAAAGAGTGAGAGAGAGGAGTAAAGAAAAGAAGAAAGGAAGAAAAAAAGAAAGAAAACAAGCCATCAGTCTGTTTGGCATAAGATACTTAATTGCTGCCTGATCTCTCTCTGTGGACTTCAGAGGCAGATTCCCCAGTTATCATATAGAGTAAAGCTCTATAAAGGTTGATGCCAGGTTAGTTACATGGTATAAAATGATGAGCATTTCTACTGAAATTCAACCTTATCTCTCTCTGGACCTTCTTGGTTAAGAAACCATGTAGTTTGCATGAAGTAGGTGTTCAAAAGATGTTTGGTGATTTAATTTTTACTGGATAAGAAATATTCATATATATATATATATAATTTTATTTTACACGTTTTGAACATGTAAAGATTAAATACCTTTAGAAGCATTTAAATTTCCTTTTTAGGAAATTTATCTCAACCTATAACTGGGATCTTCCCACTGTGGATAATGGGAAATTGAATGTGAGCAGATTTAGTGGCGATAATTTGGAGATTTCCTGGGGTAGAGCAGGAAACTTGTTCGTCTTTAGGCTTAGGGTCAATACTACAATGATTATTGAGTGTCTATTTGGGCAGGATATAATGGCTGCTCCCAAGAGTTTATAAGCCAAAGGCAGAAGCTTGAGGAGGTGTGATCAGTGGACAAAAAACTTTAATATAGGACAGAACTTGATTTAATTAGACTTAATGCTCAGAGGATGCTAAGGGGGTGTCTCAGAAGGCAACCCTCAGAGATGAGGGTTGGGGAGGGAGACTGTTGTCTAGCCAGCCAGGGCTGCTGGATTAATCACGGCAATGGCTGCTGCCAAATTGTTCTGTATTCTGAGGACATATATTGCCCAGAACAAATGCTTTGGGGAAAGCACTAGTGCCTTCAATATAGAGTCACTTATATAAAGGAAGGGGTGTCCTGGACTCTCAGACGCCAGTGTTAGGTTGGGATTAGATCATGGGGAATACTGAATGTTATTTATTTTATTTGTTTTTGCAATATGTGTTATGTAAGGCAGCAAAGGCTTTGAGCAAGATGAGTGACATTGTTCAATCCAAGTTGTGGGTGTCACTTGTATGATTGACTGAGAGGGGTTAGTTATAGAAAGGTAATTTGAAACGAAGCCACCATATTTTAGGTTATATGGGCCTTTTTTATGTAGAGCTGGCCTGTCTTATCCTGGAGAAGCCAGAGGGAAAAAGAACACCCCGTGAGGGTGTTTAAGTGAGGAGAGAAGGCAGCGGAAGACGTGGTGGCGGTGGCAGGGGAAGCCCACAGAAGTTAACAGCAGGGTTGCCTCATCCTGGGGAGGAAACGACCTGGTGCCCTCTGCTCTGTGGCTTCCTTCATCTAGCAGCATCCCTCACTTTATGATAATAATGCCAGGGAAGGGGGTGGTTGGCACTGTGAGCCAAGGCTCAGCTACTTGTTGGTAATAGAGGTACAGGGCCAGGTAAATGTAGGCAGAGGTTTCTGAGGTATGCTTTGAGATATAAGGCAATATTCTGTACCTCAGTCTTCAAAATTTCCCCTGATACTCATAGTTCCTGACCTATAGTTCCTCCAATTTTATTATAGCCGTAGAATACCGGAGTTGGAAGGAGCTCTGATATCATCTAATCTAATCCCCTTTTCTTACATGTGAGGGAAAAGGATGTTTACGGGGTGGGGGTGGGGGCATGACAAATCCTGCCACAACTGATTACCTTCAAGAAATGATTTTTCAATAAGGAAATACTTTTTTTAAAGATTTTTATTGGGGAATTGGGGGATAGGAACAGTGCTGGGGAACTGGGGGAAGGGGAACAGACAAGCCGCTGTCATCCTGCTCCTCAGTCCAGCCGCGGAGGACGCCGCCCCACTGGCCCAAGCCGGCACCATCATTGCGCTCCTCCCAGGCGAGGCAGACCAGTCGCCGGCCTCTGGATGGCCACTCACTGTGGCTGCTGGCAGGCCACGCTGGCCGCTGGCCACACACGGCAGCCCATGGCAACCCACCGCCACAGGGGCCGCAGCCCACGCCATCGCCGGCAACCCACAGCAGCCCAGCTCCAGGTCGAGCCGCTGCTCAGCATCCTAGCCGTGGAGGGCAGTGTCACCGACCCTCACACGTGGGATCCCAACTGGGGCCCTCTGGCGTCCCAAGCCAGCTCTCAACCATCGCGCTACTCGGCCAGCCCAGAAATACTTTTATGGAGAGTAGCTGGAAGACAGTTGAGAGATGGAGAGAAAGCTGGGATGGATGGAGAAGGGAAGGGATAAGGGAGGGTGATGGGCTTGAGGGGAAGAGAAACTGAAAGGCAAAGTTGGAGGGTACCCATCAAAGATAAACCTTTTCTGGCTTGAGGTTTTCCATAGGCCTGATGGTGGTTAAACATGATTTCACTGAGTTCCCTTTGGTTTTTCCATGTTAGGGATGCACGTGGCCCAGCCTGCAGTGGTGCTGGCCAGCAGCCGAGGTGTTGCAAGCTTTGTGTGTGAGTATGGGTCTTCGGGCAAAGCCACTGAGGTCCGGGTGACAGTGCTACGGCAGGCTGGGAGCCAGATGACTGAAGTCTGTGCTGCTACATACATGGTGGAGAGCGAGTTGACCTTCCTAGATGATTCCACCTGCATTGGCACTTCCAGTGGAAACAAAGTGAACCTCACCATCCAAGGGCTGAGAGCCATGGACACGGGACTCTACATCTGCAAGGTGGAGCTCATGTACCCCCCTCCTTACTATGTGGGCATGGGCAATGGAACCCAGATTTATGTCATTGGTGAGCAAAACTATATCACTACACTGATGCCTTTTGCATTGCTGTCGCTGTCTTCTTTGCATGAAAATAGTTTTGTTCTTTAATTTCAGGTGGTTCATTTTTAGGGTTGTGGAAATTCTCTTTAAGAGTTCTCTGAACTGTTACATGGTAACTTTGCTTAGTATGGGTGGCAACCCAAACAGCATTCTGACTATAAAATAAAATGGGTTGGGGAAGGTCTTTTTTTTTTACTGGCAGGCTGGGGCACTCACTCTGGAGTGATAACCATCACCAAGTTTGCCCTTATGCCTTAGATAAGACACTCCTGGGGAAATAGCCCCAAATAGCCGATTGACCTGTAGGCTAGCAATATTATCAAGGTCTACAAGCTTGAATTTCTTCCTTTCTTCACCAATGTGGGGAGTAGGGCCCTCAAGTTTAGAGTATCTCAAGGAGGCTCTGCTTTGTCTTCTGTTGCAGATCCAGAACCATGCCCAGATTCTGATTTCCTCCTCTGGATCCTTGCAGCAGTGAGCTCAGGATTGTTTTTTTACAGTGTCCTCATCACAGCTGTTTCTCTGGGCAAAATGGTGAGTGTGATGCTGCCAATACACCGCTTTGGGTGGGGGATATCTTTAGTGATAACAACTGACCAGATGACCCCACTGAAAAGTTTACTTTTCTTGAGCTGAAGCAATAAATGAAGGAGAGGAAGGACATTGGTGAAGAATACACTAGAACCCTTGGCATTGGCCTTTGAGGTTTCAGGATGACTAATATTTTAGATGAGTGTGTTTGACATTGAATGTTTGTGTGCTTCTGAATAGGGTTTCAGTTTGAGTAACCGTTTGAATAACATGGGGCAGCTGTTTTACTCTTTATCTTCATGACAAGTGTACGTAGGTGAATAACTCTGAAACACAATGTTAGCTTGGCCAAAACGCTACTAGAGAAGACCGCCTGGCTAGATTGTATTTTCTCCCTTAATGTTCCTCTACTTCACCTGAAAGCCATCTCTCAGTGCCACCCAGCTTGTGCCTTCCTTGTCCAAGTGGTAGCTGTCCACTTAATACTTGTCCAGGGCTCCCTTTTACCCAGTTATCTTGACTTGGAAGTCTTTCCCTGCCCTCCAGCCCAGTAAATGAGACCCCCCATTTTTATTTACTACAGTTGTTGGTGGAAGAGACAGAGATATGGAATCAGGCCGCCTATCAGGACCCCTTTCAGCCACCTCTGTCTAAGGCTGGTTTTGTCACAGACTTTTCCCTCTCTTTCCTCTCTTTCTCTCTCCTTCCCTCTTCTCTTTCTCTCCCTGCCTCCCTCTCCACTCCCCCCTCCTCCTCCAAGATCCTCTCTCAACCTGCTCTGTTGCTGTAGCTTCTTCCTACCTCATTTGCTACAAACCACTACACAGACTAGTATACTAGCCCTCAATTTGTTGAGGTGATAAAAACTGGGAACCTAATGCAGACAAAGTAATAAAAAGTTTATGAGAAGAGGAGATGAGAAATACAGCTCTCAAATAAGATAACTAAAGTGTATTATCTTATCAAGCTTGTCCCCTCACACCCAGAACATCCAGTCACTTATAGGCATTTTGGGCGTTTTTTGTGAAGCTTTCTCCAAGTCTCTTTCTCCCATCTTCCAGTCGGGGAAAATGATTGCTATTTTACATCTACAGCACAGAGTTATTTAGCTAAAATGAATTTTAATAGCCGAATCAAGAAAACCTCCTGGGGTTTATAATTCTGTATGTTATGAACATCCATTTTTTAACAGGGTAGGGACCCAATAGCTGTTGAGTCCTATTATGGTTAGAAGTGGCTTCTGTATTCCTCAGTAATAATTACTATTTCTTTTTGTGTTTGGCAGCTAAAGAGAAGAAGCCCTCTTACTACAGGGGTCTATGTGAAAATGCCCCCAACAGAGCCAGAATGTGAAAAGCAATTTCAGCCTTATTTTATTCCCATCAATTGAGAGACCATTGTGAAGAAGAAAGACCATTTTCCAACTTCTAAGCACTGAGACAATTCTACCTTTGTGCTATCCAGTTGTTTCTGTTTGTGTACTTTGGGAGGATTCATCTCTCTTTCATGTAAAACTGGATGCAGAACTCAAATTAAGTGTACTACAACTCAAGGCAAAGGAGCAGGAAAACAGAGCCAGGGTGTTTCTATCATATCACGTCGAATTTTAGTAAAAGCATCCCTTGGGAGCAATATGGGGCTGCAGCATTATGATATAGTATCAAGGAAATAAGTTAGGGAATGGCACAGGCCAGGGAAAGCCCAGGAAGGGGTGAAGAAGATTTACATGAGAGACGTTTCTAGCTGAAATGATGTTTTCAAGTTAAACATTTATGCCGTGTTATTTTTCTTAACAAGTGTATAATTAAATGAGTACTTTAAAAATACTCACATGGCTATATTTTAGCCAGTGATTCCAAGGGTTGTATTGTACCAATATGTATTTTTTATTTGATAGCATTGTGCATGGGGGCCACATGTGCTTTTGTGTACTTGCTGATAGTTGGAATATAAACACTATATGGCAGTGTGTTCCCACCATGGGTTCAGAAGAAGTTTGGTGAAGGGGCTCAGGACACTAATACACCAGGTGAAATACAAGGTCACCTGCTAACTGGCTTGGAAACTGGAGGAGATGGCAGAGTCTTGCAGACATGTTGGGCTGAATTGGTGTTGACATGTGCTTTGGGTTTTTATGCCAGCTCCTTTTCATGGTGTTGAAGCCAAAGCTGGTGGGATCTGAGTTAACTCAATAGAACACCATCGTTGTGAAAATGCCTCATTCTCGGTGTCCTATCCTATGGGTGTGAACTTCAAGGAAGCTCCATTTACACAGGGCCCCAATCCCTTCCACATGGTTAATGCCACAGACAGAAAGAAGAAACAGGCGGCAGAATGGAGGTTTCTGAAAACTAACACTGTTGGTGTTTTTTAACTCACTATTTTCCATGAAAATGCAACAACATGTATAATATTTTTAATTAAATAAAATCTGTGACAGTCATTTTTCCAGGGTGGTCTTTTTCTTCCTTGTATTTGACTGTTGTGTTTGAGCTTGTTTTTGATTGATTCATTCAGCAGTAGGTGGGGTCTCTAATATTAGAAATACTGGCAACAAACTGAAAAAATCCAAAAGGGCAAGTAATGTTCATGAGTCAGCTGTCCACTGCCAGTTACCTATAAGCCATTCTTAGAAGGAATTCAGCCTCTGTCTTTTTAATTTCTTCACAAGTACTTGAGATATAAAGTGGGCTACCACAGATATAGCAGACCTTGATAAATCACACACAGCATACTCTTTAGCACAGGTTCTTCACCTCCTCTTTCTTACCCACAGCTTTCTCAGCTCAATGGCACTGATTACAGTTGCCACAGCAACTCGAGTGTTGTGAAGTGTGCCCCTTGCAACCATTTTAATCTGCTTCCATGGAAAATAGAGCTTTTCTTTGTGGCTTCCAAATAGACTATTTCACAAACGTGGGGAAAACATCACTGTGGTCCTGTGTTGCTATCAACTGGCAGGCCTGGACCTGGCCCCCGTGAGCCCTCTGTGATTCTTGGTTAAACAATTGTAGCCTCAGCCTGCTTGGTTTCTACAAAGGTTTCTTATTCTTGACCTCCACATCCTGTTATTGTCTTGTGAAATGATTCTAAGTGTGGCCAGAGACCACCTGTAACTGAATCAACCTACTAAAAATGCTGATTAAAGGGTTTAACCTTAGATGCACAGAATCAGAATCTTTGGGGAATGAAGCTAGAAGTTTGCTCTTCCAACCAGCTCCCAGTTCTTCTTATACCCATCAGATTTTGAGAATCACTGCTTAGGCAGCTATCTCGTTTTTGCTCAATATAGCGCCCTCTCTCTCTCCCCCGCCCCCCCTCCACAGCAAATGCCAACAAACAAATGAGACAGCACATAGTGAGCATTCCATTAACATTTGTTACATGAAAATGAACATGTCTTTCACAATATGGGAATAGCAGTGACCTACAATGAGCTCCTACTGTGTTGAAGACATACCTCCTGCTCTCTGTTGGAAGCCATGAAGAAACACACAGTTTAGGAGTCTCAATGGATAGTATGTTGCCATTTCTACTCCTCCAAGTGTCTTTAGAGATCATTCTTTTCCACAGTTGATGGCAGATCTAAATGACACAGAGGGCCTTACACAAGGGACCTCTCAGGTACCTTTCAGACACCACTAGACAGTGGGCCAATTTATATAAGCTTAATATCTCCTCTATTATCACCTGAAATTCTACCTTTAGCTATTTACTGAGTTAAGCATTGCCCTCTTCATTCAGTCTCAATCTTGAAAAAAATAAAGTACTCCTTAGCTCAAAAAATTTTCATCTGTGGCAGAAGAAATGGGCAAGAAAGACTGACCTGAGAGTCAACTGAAAGGAGAGAAAGAAATTATGGGAGGGGGGGGGCATCTTGTCACTAGATGAAAGCCTCTTCTAATCCCAATTTCATTTATAAGGATAGATTGCAGGTCCTTTGCCTGCAATACTCAGATTCATTGCCCTCAAGTCAGAGGACCAACTGTTTCATGCCATTCCAACTTTAATCACTATCTCCATCTCTGGGATCAGAGTCCTGGGGAAGCCCAAAGATTCCACTCATCTATATGGGGCTTGGTCCAACATGGAGGGGGAGGCTTGGCACCATAACCCTCCTTGGAACCACTGGTCCCAGATAGGAATGTGGATGACAAGGGGAGCAGGCTAGAGCTACCAGGGGTCAGCCTTAACTCCTACCAGTTCCCAGCAAAAAACTCTGCTCATCTTCCTTCTTCCAACATGGTGTTCTCACTTCTGCTACTTCTTGTTTCCCTGTTTCTCATCCCCAAATATCTGTAGCCCTCATTTTCACATGCATCAGGATTCATCTCAAATTCTGCCTCCACCATCAGATTCAGACGCTTCAAGACCACATGGATTTCTCCACTCCTAGTTTGCAACTATACTTGGTTTCATCTCTAATAACCTCAAATGCACATGTCTTTTTTCTCTAGCTTGAGCGGAAACTTCTCCAAAATAGAAATCATCACAGCTTTAGGCACACAGTAAATGCCCAAATAAGTGTACTGAAGAGTTGGGGAGTTAGGGTATCCAGCACTGTGGGAAGGACAACTGTTTTCTAGGCAGAACTTGGCTGCATTTTCTTAGGTGGCCTCAGCCTAATATTTTTCCCCTTGAACCAGCAGAACTATGCGTAGGTCAATCTATGTCATGGCTTAAACCTTCAAGACTCTGGAATGTGAGGTCCAGCTGGCCACTTGCTCCACACATTCTACTTTTATCGCAATCCGGTCTTCCAATCTCAATATCTCTCTCTCATTCATATTCTCCCTTTCTCTTTCTCTCTCTGGGGAAGGCAATAAATGCTCATTCTTACTCCCTCATTTTTGAACTGTGTTTAGGTGTTGCTAAAACTAACTGTTGTTTTTATACTTAGTCTGAGCCTTCTTCTATCTCCAGTTGATGTACACTTAATTTACTTGGGACTGAACTTGCAAAATGTTTATATCATTGTGATGCTAATTGGAGCAAAGCAAGTTAAGAAGTTTGAAGAATTTATAAATTTAAGTTATTGTTTTGGGAGGTCTCAAAGCAAAGCAGAAAATGACTTCCTCTGGAAAGTTATTCCTATTGCTTCTCTTCTCTTTTGCACCTGGCTAGAGCCAAGACTTAAGTGCCTTAGAGGCCTTGTTTTATTTCATACATTTTTTCTCATCTCAGGTCAGTTTTCTCTGTTCATACCAGAAAGCTGAATTCTCCTATTGCTGGAGAGAGAAAAAAGGTTCTTTCCTTTCTTTTTTCCATGTCCTTAGCTATAGGCTTGGACAGGTATTTGTATAGGTAGCTTTGCCAGATTCGGCCCCAAACAAAACAAACTGAAACATGCATCCCCCACCCCAAACTAGGATGACTTGTATTTGATCTGACAACCTTATCAGCAGGAAATTTTATACCCCTAATGTGGTGTGAATAAAATGTGTGCTGGAGACCCCTCCCCAGGAGTTTCTGGGCAGGAATAACCTGAGACCACTCGTACGGCAGCAGTTTCAGTTCTAACATCATCTCCTGTTCCCACTCCTGGGCACATGTAGGACTGATGCTAGTATCACTGGGGCTAAAGAGTCCTACAAAGGAAGCAGCTATTAATCTTCTAAAACGTTTTCTTAGAAAAACTCCGCCTGTTCTGGTCTATATGGCAAGGAGTCTGACATTTAGACCCTTCTTGGAAATCATTGCTTTAATGGGTGCACTCTATTATAGCTGTTCTTTTATTTATTATGTATAGTAATTATCTGGAGCACTTGGGGAAAATGCAGGTTGAGGTGCCTCAGACCCAGAGCTTCTCATTTATAAGACTGGAGGTGAGGCCTGAAGATTTTAATTCTCCAATGAGACTTTGGATCATTTTTTCAGAAGCCATGGTCTAACTCAGGATCCTACCATCATAGATGATTAGGACTGGGGAAGAAAACTTGGAAATTATTTTAGAAGAAAATGAGGCTCAGAGACATTAAGAAACTTGTCCAAGGTCACAGAGTGATGCGGGATTTGAACAAGGCTAACAGGCCAGGTCTCTCAATTTTCACATCAGGGCTTTGCGGTGGGTGACACTCTGAACCTTTCTGCCCAGGGACTATCCTTTTCAGGCTGCTTCTGGGACATCACTGCCACCACTTCAGGCTACCCCCAGAAAACCTGCTTTCCATTCCACCTCCACCCTAGCTGCTCTGTTAAACCTTGCCATGATCATTGCCATTGGTTGTGGCCTGATGTTGGCTCCCTCTTTTCTCTCTCTCCCTTAACCTTCCCGGCATTAGCAAGATAATTTCAGGTGACCCAGCCTGTCTCAGCCATCCTACAGAAGAATGCTGCAGAGGAAAACGCAAGAGCCATTGCCCATAGTCTGTCAGCAATACCTGCAGTATGCCGAGACAGGTTCTAAATTTTGCTAGAAGTCATGCCACAACCCAGGGAAAGGATACATGCTCTTTTTTATCACGTGCAATCAGGTTACCATAGCAACCGATGGTGTTTTAAAAACATGATGCTAGTCACACAAAATGATACAGTCTACTTGAACAAAAAAACGGAGGTGCTGTCTGGGAAGAATTGTAGGAAATACATTTCAGGAGATGATTTCAAATTTTGGAAAGCAATGCAAATGATTTCTCATGTATAGCAATTTTCTGAGGATGTTTCCTTTTTCTTCTTGCTTCACCTTGACAACACTTTTGTCCGTGCTGCTGTTGTCCCACTATTAGCTTATTTTCTTCACCTTGTTAAACATGAGTCTTGCTTTTCTTCTGTGTAGTTAACTTGCAACTCAGACACAGTCTCTACTCTCCTGTGAACTTTCTTTCTTTCTTTTTTTTTTTTTTTTTTTTGGCCCCTGGAACATCAAAGTTATCTTTAACCTCGACTGCACCTTAAGGATAGCAAGCTTGGATTTGTGAATGAAGTCTAGCATTCTCTAGTATTCCTTTCCCATTAATGAATCTACCATGCTGCTTGTAGTTCATCAGCTCCTTATTCTGAATGAAGAGGGACAGGAAACTGACTTGTGAAGCCTGTAACGCTGCACAGATGTACTTAGCTAAAGCGATCCTTGCAATATCCCTGCAGAAGAGATACTGACATCATCCTCATTTTACAGATGAGAAAACTGAGGTTCAGAAAGGTTTTCTTATTCTGCTAAAGTCACACAGCTAGGAAATGGCAGAGTTAGGATTAGAACTGATGTTGAATTCCAAAGCACATGTTCTTTTCAAATAACCATATCTAAATTCTAGGGGCTATCTGCAAAAGGAAATAGGCAACATGCAAAGTAAATGGGGATCGAAGTGCTAGAGAAATAAAGCATTTATCATGGGCATTACAAATGGGTGTTGGAATAAGCAAATATGTAATCTTTAGACAAATATTTCGAAAGGTTTTTTGAAGATGCTTATTCTGAGGTTAGCGCTAGC